CGACATCCGTCCGAAACAATTACTGCCAAATAAGCAATACTTGACCAAATGAAAAGACGCGTGATGCGAATGAAGCTTCATACTTGATACTTGTCTTTTAATTTTGTCGAATACTACTTATTTGACAGTAATTGTTTCGGACGGAGATCGAGAGTAGACCCCCTGCTATTTACTGTCTTTGTACTTTTTGTTCCATGTCCTCATTTCCGTTGAATTCCCTCTTCCCGCTATCGTAAAGCTTATTTTGTCATATACAAGTCCTATTGGCTATAAGTGTTTGTCTTCATGTATTATTTTACACTCCATCAAATTAAAAATATGCCTACATATTAATTATATTTTTTTAATATTTATTATATTCTATTTAACCTTAATCGCACTTCACTTCCTTTATTCCTAATTAATTATGATTCCTTTTAATTGTTTTCCTATAAGTTTCTCTGTTTTGCAGTGGCACAAACGCAAGCCGCGAAGTGCAAATAACTAAAAAACTGTAGTAGAGGAGTGAGCAGTGTTGCCAATTTGTGGGGAATTCCCCAAATTGCGGGAAATTTCAACTCCATTGGAGATTTTATTGAGATTGATGCTATGTGGGAGAGAAAGCAGTGATTCTAACATAATTTATCATTTTGTTTAATCTATCCATCACCATCAACTATATATCTATAGTTGATGGTTACTGATACAAACACTATGATGATGATGAACGATATATTTTTTTCAACGTCGCACATCCCCCGCATTATTAGCAAGCCGTGTAAATAGAATTACTCGGTAGGATCAAACCACTTGGTTCTGAGTTGTAAAATTACCAATCGGTATGTGTTGAGTGCGCGACCCCTCCTCTTTCTTAGGTCGGTTCCCAATATGAAGAAACACAATACCAGCTATTGCTAAACATAGCCGAGCAGATTATACTTAGGTCTAAACTTAATTTTCTCATTGATTATTTCTAACTTTAACATAGTGTAACCAAATGCGCAACAAATAATTAAGTTACTTAATTGTATAAGGCTAAGTATAAGGCTTTTAATTCTGATTGAACGTTGAATATCATTAAAATAAATAAACGATTTATGGTCGTCTAATTTCATAATTTTCCTTACAATTTAGGGTGGTTACACACGGCAACTATTAGCAGTGATGCAAACGCGCCTTTCTGAAACGCGCGATTGCATCGCTGTACTTGCAATTTAAACGCGATTGCATCGATACAAACGCGCGACTGCATCGATACAAACGCGCGATTGCATCGATACGAATCGTTGTACCGTTTTTGCGTTTCTTTTGTGAGATTTCAGGCATGTTTATGTGAAGCAGCTAGAACAATATTAAAGCAGACACACTATACACATTTTTAGTACCTAACACTAAATATGGTATTTAACAAAAACTCCATTAATAAAAGTAGAAAAATAACACACGTCCCGGAAGGGACCATTTGATATGCTTTTTCAATGTTTTTGTGCGCGATTGCTTCGATGCAAACGCGAGATTGCATCAGTGCAATCGCATTTAAATCCCAAGCGTAGCGATGTAATCGCGCGTTTGTATCGATACAGTCGAGCGCTTGCATCGCGTTTGCATTCTTTTTATCATGTTATATTTTAGAGCGATGGATTTATAATACTGTTCCCAAATTTTGGGGATTTTGGATAATTGGCATTGGCAACGCTGTTCCCACCCAACTTCTTCTGCCAACCAGACGACCCAACTCAACTCATTCGGTGGGATTCCCGCTACCTACACTATATTCATACTCTCAGTTACCTATCAACATTGTTAGTTATCATCAACAACATTACATGCTTTTTGCTTTGGCAGTAAGTCGTTGAAAGTGTTTATTGTATTAGACTTACTGTTTTTTTTTCGTCTCCGGAATCTATAGTGTGCGATCTTCCGACTTTTTTTAATTTGACCTGGCAGTACTGGTTGATAGTGTCAACTTCAGGGATTCGTTCTGGATCTTATGGAGGGAAAAGTGTCGTTTTTATTTTGACTTTCAATTATTTTGTGAAATCTAGTTTAAAGTGGAATAGGATAGTGCTATTGTGCCTTAATCGAAGATTAAAACGCGAAATTATACGACTAAAATCTATCTCGAACTAAAATACCCGTATCGGCTCGTTCTAAGAAATCCCGAGTCAATCCAAGCACGCCGCCTCAAATTGCCTATCCTCTTTGTGGCGGCCATATTTACAGAAAAACTTATTTTTATGTTTTCGGCTGAAGGATTTTGTTTCCATGGCCAGAAATAAATTAATAATTAAAAGTGTCAACTTCACATAATTGTATTATTTTCCTTTTCCTTCAATATGTAATATATGTTGGAAAAAGTTTAAGATTATTTTATTGATCTACGAAGATGGAAAAAAACAAAAGAACTTCTGTGAGGGCTGAGACTGTTGTTGACTTGACTAACTTTCTGACACGCTTTCTAGAATTTGTGTTCACAAGGTCCGATAAATTACATAAATCTATCTCAAATCGTTGATCTTTCTACAATAATTTGTGGTTCGACATTGGCTGCGTTCGACATAACTTAAATTGTTATTTTTACGAACTTGAATCTGTGCGAGATCTTTAAAAGTACACCATCAATTAGCAAAACTAAGAGACAAATAAATATCTAGGTTTTGCTTATGTTGCGAACGTTCTATGTTTATTCTTTTTAATTAATAAATATTCGACACGTCACATAGGTTGCTCTCATTGCAAAGTAAGTAAGTTCTGAAGCACCTGTGTAATGAAAATCGAGAAAACCACAGTCCCAATTTTTTGGTGCAAATTCCTTATGAGTACTGTTTTTTTTTCATATCAAGTAACGGGGCGAAGAAGTCGTGCGTCTGATGGTAAGCTATACGCCTGCCCATAACAGCAGTACCACTCAGAGCTTTAAATCGCAAAGACATGAGGGGCACTGTCACTGCACCTGTTACCCTGAGACAAAGTTGACAAGTCCCATCATGTAATTTCACCAGCACCTTTGCCCTTCAAAACATGAACACAGTATTGCGAACATTATGGCTTGGCAGTAGAAATAGATAAGGTGGCAGTACTTCCCTGGACGAACTCTTAACCACTAAAACTGTTTGTTACATTATCCATGATTAATCAAACTCGGGGTCGTATTCCAGAACTGTACTCAATACTCAAGTCAGGACTAGAGTATTGCAGAGAGCACTGAAAATCATACTCAAGTCCTTGCCATTAGGGTCGTATTTCCAGTGCTTGAAATCGTACTCAAGTCTGCTCAAGTCCTGACTTGAGCATTGAGTAGAATTCTGGAATACGACCCTCAGTGGTACCTAAGCTAAGTTTAGAACAGATTTGTCTCTAGGGCTCTAGTTCCGCTAGGTAGTAGGTACCTACAGACTTTTCAAATCCTGTTCAGTAGTTTATTCACTTGTTTGGAGAATGTTTACTGTTCTTCGAAGACTCGTCTTGACCCACCCCAAACAAACCTCATTGCTCACAGTGGGTCATATATGAGTTGATGAAGAAGATAATCAAATAGTATTTTACATCCTGTCGTCTCCCCACAACTAGTGTACGGATTTGGATTTAATTTCACAAATCTAGCATGGAAAAGCTGTTCTGGTTCGTCAATTCATCCAATAATAAAGACTGTATTAAGATCTGTACAAATTTTCATTTCAGATTAAAACTGAACAACGCGTTACGTTTTCAATATACCGTGTGAGTGTGACATAACTTTGTCAATGTTTCATTAATATACAATTACATTGTCTGTCAATGTTACACATCGAGTTACAGGACATTATGAACCTCAAGAGAGAGCCCAGCGAATTAGAGAACAGCCTGGTGGGTTTACATGAGAAAGTCCGCATCAAACAGGAGCCAGTTTGTGTTGCGGAAGAAGAACAAACTACAGAGCTGGATCTATATGCAGACCATGAAATCAAGGAAGAAATGGTCATAGGCCCAGTTGTGTTGCAGTTTCCTAATGTAGCTCAAGCAAGATGTGGGCAGAGCATATTTGATAAGTTGAATGTTGATGTTCAATTGAACAAGTGTGATGTTTGCAATAGGGGTTTTATAAAAAAACATGAACTTAGGAGTCATATAATGACTCACACTAAAAAGAAGAAACACCAATGTGAGTTTTGTAACAAATCTTTTACTAAGAAAGGAAATCACAGTAGACATTTAACAACTCATACTGTAAAAAAATCTTATATTTGCGACTACTGTCATAAATGTTATACCTCAAGACAAGGATGTATAAAACATTTATGGACTCACACTGGAGAGAAACCACACAAGTGTGATATTTGCAATAAAGGTTTTTTAGCAACAGGGCAACTTAAATATCATAAAATGACTCATACTGGAGAGAAACCACACAAGTGTGATATTTGCAGTAGAGGTTTTTTAACAACAGGACAACTTAAATGTCATAAAATGACTCATACTGGAGAGAAACCACATAAGTGTGATATTTGCAATAAAAGTTTCTTAACATCAAGACAACTCAAGTGTCACAACATGGCTCATACTGGAGAGAAACCTTACAAGTGTAATATATGCAATAGGGGTTTTACAAGACAATATGACCTCAGCAAACATGAAGTGAGACATTCTGATAAGCAGCCATACCAGTGTAACATTTGCAATAAAGATTTCATTAAAAAAGGCGACCTTATGCGTCATGAAATTATTCATACTGGAGACAAACCGTACAAATGTGATATTTGCACCAAATGTTTTATGCACAAATATCAACTTACGCTTCACATAAACACCCATACTGGTGACAGTCCTTATAAGTGTGAGCACTGTAACAAATTTTTTACCCGTAAAGAACATTATGATAACCATTTAAACACTCATATTTGTGAAAAACCATTCAAATGTGATATTTGCACCAAATGTTTTATAAGAAAATGTCAACTTAGTTATCATAAAATGACTCACACTATTGACAAACCGCATAAGTGTACTATTTGCAATAAAGGTTTTCTGTGGAAATATGAGCTCAACTCTCATGAAATGAGCCACAAGTCGTTTGATAAGCAACCATACCAGTGTAACATTTGCAATAAAGGTTTTCTTAGAATACATGACTATATACATCATGAAATGATTCATACTGGAGAGAGACCGTACAAATGTGATGACTGTGAAGAATCTTTTGTCCTTAAATCAAATCTTAAAAAACATTTAAGGAGTTGGAGTCATGCAGAAAAAACTTATTATGTTAAAAAATGAAATGGGACAAATTACTTAGAGAAACAAGTATGTACCCAAAGAAGTGATAGTTTTGTTTAAATATTGGTACAGTCATAAAGAATTTTGTGAGATGGGGGACTCTCTGTCGAATTACTGTACTTTGGAGGTGGGGCAAGGTGGGCTGTCCTCTACTAAACTGTTTAATTCGTATCTCAACCAACTTAATCGTCGAGCAATACCTATGCCTGTTGTCATATGAAAGGAATCGCCGTAAACAATTTTAATTACGCAGACGACATGATGCTGCTCGTACAGTTGACAAATCTATGTGAGCCGTAGGCTTGTATAGTTCATGAACTACGAACTATTAGGAATATATTCCCTACAGTGACCGACATGAACTAGTTCGTCTTGCACGGTTTTAATAGTTCATCGTTCTTTTTAGTTCAGTACGAACTAGGAACTGTGCGTTGATAGTTCACCTGTCTTTTATACAGTAGGAACGGTGCGAGCGGGACAAATAGCGATCTTTCACTACTTTTAGTACAAGTTCGAGTGGGATGCACGATTGAACGTTGCCAGCTCGTTCTAAGTTAATACGTATCTACATTATGTATATATACAAGCTTGCAAAAAAGTATTATATTTTTGGTAGGTATCTGTATGTATAATATCAACCTACGTGTACGAGTATATGAAATAGTTGTACCTAAATATTGATTTTTAACACACATTCTAACTAAAATTCTTATTTTGTAAAAAAAACAGGATATTTAGTTAGAATGACAGCCTTTAAACGTGTAAAATATGAAGGAAAATCAAATAGTACCCGTTCCATACAAATTGTATTTTTAAATATTAGTACAGTGTAGTATTGACCTCATAATAATAGAAGTCCGTGGTGGTTCATGAGAATAAAATTATTGGTTTGGAGCGTTCGTTCAATGTCCGAGCAAGGACAAGACGAACTAACTAAGGAACTAAATGAACTAGAAAACCGACCTAGTTCAGTTGACCGATTGAACTAACAAGGATCGCTCCCTCTAAGGACCGATTAGGGGGTCTACTCTCGATCTCCGTCCGTCATGCGTCCGAAACAACTACTGCCAAATAAGCAATACTTTACCAAATGAAAAGACGCGTGATGCGAATGAAGCTTCATACTGGATGCTTGTCTTTTAATTTTGTCGAATATTACTTATTTGATAATAATTGTTTCGGACGGAGATCGAGAGTAGACCCCCCAGGCACAAGTCTAGTGAGCCGTGTGCTGTTGACCATGGACTCGGGGTATAACGTTAAAAAAAGCGAAGCTCTATTTTACTAGTGGTGTCACTGTATATAAATGGATGGATGGAACCCTTATACAAAGGGATACCCTTTGAACTTTATCACTAAATTCAAGTACTTTGGTCATAGGGTAACAGAAATCAAAAGCGATCAAAATCAATTGATTTTGATTGCCTCTCCCGATTGGAAACTGCGTCTTTTCCGAGTCCAGGCATATAATATTGCGGATGGGGTAGCCCATCCGCAATATTATACGCCTCGGATCCGCGAACGTAGTTCGTTGACTGTCCCCAATGGACGACCACAGTCAACGAACTTCGCGCTCGCACACAGATTACACTTCGACTTACTTTTTTTACTTACACAGCAAGTACAGATTACACTTTCTAAACATACAGTCAGTCCCTTTACACATTATGCAGCATGTGGACCAGGTTTACGTAGAGGGCATACAACGACCTACGCGTTTGGGGTGTTGATAGGGTTGCCAAGTTTTTGTAGTGTCTTTGATATGTTTGTGGAGGCACTGACTGACAGCTTCGTGGCGATAGTGCGCAAGGGGTGTGCGTCACTAATGCCCCGCCTGCGTGGCAGCCCCAGCCTTATCCAGTAGAGTTAGCACTAAGGATGCGCGAATGTGAATGATTTCGATATTCGACTCGTTAGTAATCGTTAATCCTGTCATTTGAATATCTAATAATAACGTACTAAATTTCTTAATTGAATGATCATTTATTACTAATTAGTAGTACTAATACATAGATTCCATAGAGCATTTCTACTCGTGATCACGTTACCCTCTCTGACATGTTGTAAATACTGTACGAAAAGTTGACAAGGATACTTTGGTATGGACATGATGAATGAGGTGTCGACTCGAGTCGAATTTCGTGCTTCTAAGAAATTTGTGCTTGGATTCGACTTTGGCGAATGATTTGCCAATTCGAATGATTAGTATTAGGGTATTAGTAACATTCAAAATCACTTCGCTACGCGAGTTCTCTATGCGGGAATAGCAATATCTCGCGCTTTGTGTCGGTCTGGCGCAAGTCGCGTCCTTTCGTACTAGCTCTACTGTAGGCTCGAGTAGTTCATGAACTAGGAACTATTAGGAATGAGTTACAGACACTGACCGAAACGTACTAGTTCCTTGTGCACGGTCTTTTTAGATCAGCCGGAATGGGATTCTTTGCAGAGCCACAAACGCGAGGAGATCTTATTAGTTCACCTGTCTTTTTAGTTCACAGGCGCGAGGCGAGATGAAGCGAACGAGACAATTAATGGACTATCATGGCTTTTAGCGAGTGAGATGCGCGATTGAACCTTTTCCAGTTCGTGTCATCCAAATAATAATAAAATAGTAAAGAGCGATAACAATAAAACATTCCTATTTAAATGTACAAATAGTTCGTACGGATATTTTTATTCCGTATATCCATCAAAGGCCGAAACGGTTCCTATTCCATTCCAATTCCCAGATCCCACTGAACTAAGGAACTAAAAGACCGAATTAGTTCATTTATCCGAACCAACTAATTGGGATCGTTCCCTCTAAAGACCGAGCAGGCGCGAACCTACTCTAGTGGGCTGTTCACGGAGCACGAGAACTCTCCTATGAACGCCCATTGGTCGCGATTGCACGTAGTCGTGTAATACTAAGGCTGCTTACAGATTGACTGCACGTTTCCAATTAATGCGTGAAGTCGATCTCGGTTGCATAAACTCTTGTTTCAACTGCATGCAGTTAATGTGTGAAGTCGTTATCAACTTCATGCAGTCGAGGTCTCTGATAACGATTAAATGCAGTCGAAACCAACTTCATGCAGCCGAGATCGATTGCATGGATTTAATGCGTGAAGTCGTTATCATCTTCATGCAGTAGAGGTCTTGGGTGAAGTTGATTACTACTTCATGCGTTAACTGTCAACATGCAGTCGTTCTGTTGGCAGCCTAACACTCGTTATAAAATCCCCTGTAATACTAACCATTTAAGGTCAAAGTCTGAAATTATGACTTATACAGAAGATAAACTTAGCAAGTGTGAAAACTAATAAATGTTTCACCCAGGCACTAAATGTTTTATAAGAAAATCAATTCATGGGTCGCAAGAGGAAAACAACCTATCGATTCTGGCTCTCAATAAAACCAAAATCACGATCTATAGTTCTGTGCATACGTGATCCAATAAAAAAGATTGCGTTAGCTAAACGAATAACAGAACAATGAGTATAACGGCTGCGAACCACGATCGTCAGGCCGCCTCTGGACCGTATTCACACCGAAAAAATATATTTATACGGTCGAACTGGTGTAAATGGACGTAATCACGACATAACATTGTAAAGAAACGCCGCGCGTTTCTGTGTGGCAGGGCTCATATGAACTCGTACATTACAAAAATTCCCGCGCTCGTAGCGCTTCCGTAGCCGCCTCTGTGTGGCCTTGAGCATTAAAGTCACTATAATTAAGGATGCGTATCTACTTATATAGATTTCATAGCTCGCTCCGTTCCTACTTCCTATCTATTTAATTCAATAGATAGGAACCCTTTATGTTTAAGAGTGTCAAGTGCCTAGTTAATAAATTAATGTAATATAAGTAAATAAATAAAAAATAAACTGTCCAGTTTCCGAAAATGACTGATCAGAGAAAATGGCGAATTGGACAAAATGACGAGTTAAAGATTTACATGGCATTGGCAAATTACAAAATTGACCAGTTGACGAAAATGGCGTTTTAACGAAAATGGCTAGTGGTCCTCTAATTCATTGGAGCATCTTCAGGTTGCACTCAACTGATATCTATTTACTTGGAAGTATTTGGTCGCACTCATTTTCTTTGTTGTATAATTTATTTAAAGGTTTACAGTTTATTGTAATCCACACAAGTGTAGCCCAATCCTCGGGGAGGTCAAATGAGTATTAAGGTAATGTATGAATGACGTGGAAAAGCGTAAAGTGGTTGTAAATATACAATGAAACAAAGTAATATGAAGTCGTTTTTTTTAAATTAAGCCCAGTACCTATTTACCTTTTCGTTACATAATAACTAATAATCATTTAATTCAACACCAGAGAACAATGACGCCTCTTGCTCTCGTCACTTTCCAATTGAAGCCTAATATAATAACACACGAAATGAAGACGGGCTTTTTATGTGATCAGCGCGGGAATTTGTAAAGCGTATTAGGGTGATAACATTTCTGTTGAACAATTGGAAACCTCTGCCCGCTAGGTACTTCCTGTTGTCAAAATAGGACTCCCCACAAGGATCTGTGACTTAGTACGCTCTTTATCTAAATAATATTCAAATTCTTCAGTTTGCAGACGATTTACTAATTTATTCTATCAATCTAACACTGCCTACCACACTTTAATATTAATAAATATTAAATTATTCTTAAAATCTCTGCTTGAACTTATATGGATTAGAATTATCAGTTCAGAAAAGTAGCGGTCTTATTTACAAGGAAACTTGTCACACTTCCATCCTCTAAGGTAACACCAAATCGATGCCTTACTTTCTCAAATTCGTATCCTATAAAGAGTGATTATCTGATTATTCAGGAGATGGCAAAACTGTCTATTTATTTTAAATTGCTTATCAAGTGTTAATATTGAATTGAATTAATCGAATAAGTTATTCCGTACAGTAGTGCGATTCGCGTATCAAAATATCGTTGAACTTACGTAGTCGTTCGATCGAAGTCTTATCCAAAATTGGTATTCACGTATCACTTGAACGGACGTTGATATGAAAAGAATCGAAACTTAACGACTAATAAACGACATCTTGAATTGTGAAATTTAATGTTTAGTCATCGATAAGTCTATTGAAAGTACTGTCAAAATTTTAGCAGAATTACGTATGAGTCGTCGTTTAAAATCGATTTAAGTTCGATTCGTATACCAAAATACGCTTTAACGACATTTGGATCGAACGACTATAAAATTGGACTCGTTGAAGTTCGACTTCACACACAAGTGAACACGAAAAAGCAGTTTAACGACTAAATCGCTACGATATCTCGGTTTGATTACGTGAATCGTACTACAACTCTATGCAACCATAGACTATTTACAAGTCTATATTTGAGAAATAAAATAACCTCACTTTTGAACTAACGTTTTTGAAATAAGATTTAAATATGTTATTCTAATGAATATGGTCGGAAAAAGTAATGAAATATCAAGCCGAAATTTTCAAAATATACGTGAAAGTGTTACTTATTCCATTTAATGAGTGATTGCTTTATAATTTTAACCAAACCGGTTTGTTTACTTTTCTGGTTTAGTGGATTGGAACAGACTTAACTTTTTTACTCTGTAGATTTTAAAAAGAAGAAGAAGAAGAAGTTATCCATTTTGAAGAACAAGGATATCTATATAGGGTGTCGTATGTTATCTTTGTCGTTTAATCGTCGCCGCGAAATTTGTAATCTTTTTAATTGCATCGTAAAACTTTTCAAACACTCGATCAAAATTTTGCATTTTGCAAAAGTCACACACAAACGAAGTTAGTGTGAAAAATGTCGGTGAGAAAAAAGTAAGTGTACACGAAAAAAGTATTGTTTATCTTTCGTTGATCTTGGAAACATGCTCGCTTATTTTTCGAATAAAATAACTATTAAATTTAAATTGTTTTATTTTCCAGAATACGGAGTACCAAATTTCAAATTAAGTATTTAATTGATTATATGGCTTCTCATCCGCGACTGGCAGAAGGGGAGTATACTGGACCTCAAGGCAAGAGGCAGAAGGAGCTGCAGTGGTTGAAACTCAGGACCATACTCAACCAGTTTGGTCCTAACAAGTCGATAGCACAATGGGAACATGTAAGAAATATTATCAAATATTTTTAATATTCATTGACGCGTTATTTATTCCTACCACGATATTATATTGTTGTAATTATTAATATAAAGATCGAACACAAAGAATAATTCCTTCGACCTGACAGAACATGATCCTGCATCTGAGCCCTGAAATAAAGAAAAAACAATGGAAGTGCCTTGACATATTCAGCGCCAAGAGCCTCCGGGGCTAAAATCGCGGGAATCACGTTTTTTTACTCATATACTTTATTGGTATTAATTTAGTGAATTAATATTATGAACCCCCCTCCACTTAGGGGTACCCTTTTATTTGAGTTTTTACAGTTGTATCGGGCGAGATACACTGACCAGGAAGTAAAACCCACCTCAAAAGCTAGCTTACAGGCCAGTATATCTCTCGTGATACATCCTACTTTCTCCCCTAAAGAATGCTGTTAACCTAGTATGTATAATTAAAAATAAAAAGGAATATAAAATATAAAAAAACTGATGTAAGTATAAAGTAAAATAAAAAAAAAACGAAATAAAATATGATTATTATATGAAGAACTGCCTCTGTGGCCGAATGGTTACCATACCGGACTGCCACGCAGAGGTCCCAGGTTCGATTCCCGGGTCGGGAGAAATATTTGTGTGACCTACATTTATTTATCTCGTGAGTTTGGGTGTAATTTGTGGTTGTCTGTGTGTGTCCATGGCACCCGCGATACAGGGTTTCCCTAGTGCGGGGTTATGTTGAGTGTGTGCGTTATTTATTTATAATTGACAAGTACAAATGCCAATGAAAAGTAAAACAATTGAGTCGTTTTTTCTCATAAATTTAGCTAAATGCAGCCAAAATATAATAAGTAAAGCACTAAATAATAATGGGTACAAAAAATAATATTTTATGAGTTAAGTTTATTGTAGTAAATTTGATGTCATTCAATAAATAAGTAATTGAATCAATAATTATATTTCATTTTTTTTTCTCTTTATTCAACCATAACTTCAAAATGATCACAGATATTTATTTTCTGTATACACTGAACGATTCGATACGAGGGCCAGGGCTTTCAAACACTCATTCAAAATTATGTATGCACTGAGATACACCGGCCTAAAGAAGCAAGCCTTACCTGTGTATAGCCAGGGATACACTGGCCCGGGACAAAAATATTAGGTGTATATTCTTCTTCTGTTTATATATTGGCAGTGCTCTTATTGGATTTTGCCAGTATCAAATCTTCCACTAAGTAAATTTTATCGATTCCAGTGGGATCAGCTCAACAAGTTTTGTGGGGGTACTTTGTTAGAGAGAACAAGCTCACATTGTGAATTTTGAACTTTGGTGTTGCAGACCTGAAGGCTTACAAATACAATAATAGGAGTTGATGGAGCTCTAAATAAGGTACACGCAAATTATAATCTCATATTATTGTTGGATATATAACCACAAAGGCAATGATAATAGTGGAATTAACATATTGTCTGCTTAATGGTATAACCACATAAGTGAGATTTTCCACAAAAATCTCCAAATTATGTACCAGTTGTAAGAAATTCACCATCTTTCTGCAGATAAAATTCTTATTAAGTTTATAGCTTTTTTGTTATTGAGCTTCACATGCAGACAGATAGTGATTTTCTTACCATAGCTATATAAATTAAATACTTTTTGCGGAAAATGTCACTTATGTGGTTTTAAATTTAAACAGACAATATGGGGATGACCGGGGGAAGGAGATCATACAATGGTATCATCGAAACTCATACATTCATAATTTGAAACACTACAAAATCTTGATAATGATACAAGAATACAGGATATTTATAATATTTATTTATTGAAAATGTAGTAAAAATGCAGGTCTTAAGAGTGTAATATTATATTAGATCATACATTTCACCAAGACTTGTCATGTGAATATTTTACACAATTCTTTTTTCACTTTTGATGTAGCATGCATTTAAAGTTATTAAAACATATATATTCGCGAAAACCTAAGAACTCGATATATATTATTAATACAACAGCTTAAACAAACAATAACAATTGAAATGTAACCAGAAAATGGTCAAATAGTTACATTTAGAGATTATATAGATGGTGATTTGGCCGCCAAATATCCGGCTATCCGGCCTAGATGGGTATCTAGGCCGGATAGCCGGATATTTGATCCACTGCCTTAAACATGTCGCGACCGATTTACAGCGCATCGCCGTGTTTGATTGATTAGTTAATGATTGCACTTTCACATAACGATTTGATTTGTTGTGATCACTTGATTTTTATAAAAACGATTAATTTATTCGATAATACAAACAAATATATAACAGAAAAATGTTAACAATGAGAATAATCGCAAATTTGGCACATGCACATTTCGCGTGGTGCAGAAGGAAAAAAGCAGTAACATTATCCTTTAGCTGTTTTAAAATTTTTAGTTTTTGTAAGTAATAGGGGTTAAAGTATGAAATTGCCGATTTGTACTGAAAATCTAAATTGTTTATTTTTTAAATTTTTAACAAATTTATTTAATCAAAATAGTTGCCATTATTATCTATACATTGCTGCCATCTAATGGGAAGGTTATTAATGCCTTTGCGATAGAACTACGACGATCGAGACTGCACAAACTGTGTGAAAGCATTTTGTACTGCCTCCTGGGAAGAAAACTTCTTGTCATGTAGATAATTGTCCAAATCACGAAAAAAATGGTAGTCCGTTGGAGCAAGGTCTGGTGAATACGGAGGATGACGAATGGTTTCTAACTGCAGTTCCTGAAGGGTCAAAATGGTTTCTCGTGCTGTGTGAGGTCTCGCGTTGTCGTGGAGCAATAATGGTGAAGATCGATTCATGAGTCGGGGCTGTTTTACTGCTAGTTTTGTCAACATGGTTCGGAGTTCGGCACAATAGACATCTGCCGTTATTGCTTGACCAGATCGGAGAAAACTATAGTGAATAACACCATGCTGAGACCACCAAACAGTTACCATTACCTTTTTATTGGTAAGTTTTGCTTTAGGACACTGTTGTGGCATTTGACCTGGGGTCAGCCATTGCATTTTTCTTTTCCGGTTATCATAAAGAATCCACTTTTCATCACATGTTACAATTCGATCCAATATTCCTTCATTTCTGTACCGGTTCAACAAGGCAACACAAGTTTCAACACGCGTTTCTTTCTGCAGATCAGTCAAATCATGAGGCACCCATTTTTCGTATTTTTTTATTTTATTGATTTGACGCAAGTGAGTCAATATTGTGGGTAAGGTAACGTTAAACCATGCCGCTAATTCCTGGGTAGTTTGACTAGGATCGGCTTCCACTATCTCTCTTAATTCATCGTTATTCACCTGTGTGCCGTGTGGGCGGTCTTCCTCGTGGCTCGTTTTTTAAGTCGAAATTTCCATCACGAAAGCGTTTAAACCAAAATCGCACGGTGCGTTCATTAGTAGACCTCCAAACGCAGCATTGATATTGCGGGCTGTTTCTGCCGCGTTAGTTCCGCGTCGGAACTCGTATTAAAAAATCACTCGAATTTTCGCAGTATCCATCTTTCTTGTCTAAATTGAATAACAAAAACAATTGAAAGTCGATATTCAAATGTTTCAAATTAAAAAAAAAATCACAGAAACCATTTGAAAAAAGTTTCATTCGAAAACCTCAAACCATGAAGATTCTATGAAAATTCAAAGAACCTATTGCAATAAAACGGCAATTTCATACTTTAACCCCTAATATAAGCCGAGCACATAGGTTCCTAAATTTTTAGCTCATTGCCCACTTAGGAAAGATAAAAAAATTGCAACGCCCACCGTCACAAAAAATATTGAAAACACGTATTTTTTATATTCATATAACACGAAAAATCAGAAAGAAAAATGTAATGTTAAGTTTATATAGATAATTCAGGCTATTTTTTTTTCGAATGCGGTAGTACCCCCTGAACGGCATGAGGCCCCTACCGCCCTAGGACTCTTCAGCGCCCACTGGTAGGGACCATTTTGGGAAACTATGGCCTAGCACTTGAAACGCTCGTAATTATTTTGTTTCAATTTGATTTCTTTAATTTGCTTGTGATCTAACTAATTCTGAGCCTTGATACCAAATTTGCCGAAAACAAATATTTTAATCTACTTAGACGTATCATTATTATAGGCACACATTGTATTTGAAGATAGTTCAAATCGATCGTGATCGCAATTCTTTTATTTGGTCGTCTGGAAATAAAAAGTACTTCATACTTAAAATTTAACAAAGTGTGCAAGAGTGGAAAACTGTCCTCTGAAGCTGGTCTCGTTTATGAAAATAAATAAAACCAATTTTTACCACTTAATGCAGAAAAACTGAAACTGGTCTACATCCACCATAATTTGCCTGTATTAGAATTTGAGTACAAAATTTACAGATAACGTTATTTGTCTTCATAGTTCTTTCAGTTACATGTAATAGACAGATTGTCAATGATTCTGTATTTGCTGTTTATAATAAAAATAATAATAATAATAACGCACACACTCAACATAGCCCCGCACTAGGGAAACCCTGTGTCGCGGGTGCCATGGACACACACATAGATAACCACAAATTACACCCAAACTCACGAGAGAAATAAATGTAGGCCATACAAATATTTCTCCCGGCCCGGGAATCGAACCCGGGGACCTCTGCGTGGCAGTCCGGTATGGTAACCGTTCGGCCACGGAGGCAGTTTATCCTATTACTATCAATTTTTTTTATCAATAATTAAATTTATTTTGTATTATATTGTTATTATATTTTTGTGTAATATTTTTCTTAGTTTTAAATATCCGGTATTCGGTCGGAAAGTAAAAATAGGCCGGATACCGGATATCCGTTTCATCTCTAGTTATATTTTACATTTAAAAGTTATTAAATAAAAAATCGTCATTATTGTATACAGTAGCACTGACTAACTAACAAATTATGCAATTTTATTTTGTCTACAATTTAAGTCTTTAACAGCATCCAGTAATTTATTAAATAATTTGGGTGTTAATATACGAACATTGTTCTACTGTAAAATTTCAAATTAGAGTGTTGTTTGGGCCGTATTTCTATTTTATTCTTTGTGTTTTTAGGATATCTTTTTTTGACGTTTGTTTCACATAAACACAGGCCTCGTAAATTGTTAATATGTAATTGGACATACTGCCAGAATGATCATATTGTAATAATTGTAATTTTCTTCATTACTTTAATTTTCTTACATTTTATCTTTACGGTGGCCATTTTGAAATTTCGCCTTATAATTGGTCGTAGTTTCAAATTTAAAAAGAAATAACAAATTCTGGACTGTTAATGTATTTTAAACTTTACCCAGTTGCCGTATTGTTGAAAATTCAATATCTATTGATGCAAGTTACGTTGTTATGAGGTTATGTGCCAAACCAGGGCGAGCGTAGTTCCAACCGTAGATATAGAAATAAAGGGGAGATTTTGTATGGGAGCGTGGTTCGTGTTGCCTCGATATGACCAAAGTGCGCATATTGAGGTGACACGCGTAGAAACATCGATCGTTGTACGCTTAGAATAATAACGCATAGGTACCTACAAACCTAGTCCGCACACGCTAAGTGAGGCAAATTGTAGGGACCCAAATGGGCTTACACGAGCGGGCGGGCCGTCAGTGTTCAAGATCAACTTGCACCGCGAACAGCTCAAAAATTTTAGCTAAAAATAACGAAATGTGCAGTAAAAGTGTGTAAAAATATGTCAGACAAACATAAAATAGATACTAACATCACATTCTACAAGGAAAAGCGTTTCAACTTATATTTTTATGTAAATATTCACTAAAACAGAAAATTAATTTCTTTGCAACAAGATAAGAAAATGTTGCAAAGTAACGGATTTTTTCTCCCCATTTTGCTATTCTGTTTCAAAATAATTATATTACGTAATTTTTTGAGAATAGGCAATATCGCGACTGTTGCAGAATTTCTACAAATGTAAGCTATTTTTACGGAATATATTTAGTATTTGCCTTCATTAGATTCATGTGAAAATCGTTATTCTTGTTCATCATACAGGACTCATTTAGAAAGAATTGTCTTGCCCAGACTCAAAAGTTCTTAACTAAACTTATTTCAGGAAACTAACACTGACTAAAAAGTGATCGTTAGTTGTCCAGAGTCGTGTATAAATAACTTTCAGGTTCTTTATTGTTATCATGTACTCTTCATGTGTTTATCGACAGATAATATCAGGCTATTTATATATCCAAATTTTCTTGAACTAACTACCTAACTTAAACTCGCTTTTAGGTTTTCGTTCATAAATTATTTAAATAAAAATTGGGTAGTATTTATTAACTGAATGCTGAGTTAAGAAAGAGACAATTTCCTCACTTTTGATAGAAATGTTTTTTTAATATTATATAATTAATACAAAAACAAAAAATATAATTATTTGTGTGCGTGCCGACGAGCGTAAATACAAGTTGCTTACGCCTACATGAATTTGATTTTTGCCTCACTTCTGACAGTACGTTTGATATGAAACTATCATTCTATACGTTATCATTCTAAGGTTATACGCATAAGAACTCCCGTAAAACGTGAAAATTCCAGTTTGTAGCGTAACAGTCTGTAAAAATCGGAGTGAAAATAATAATTTTAAAACTAGTGTGATAACGTACCACCGGTTAGTTACACATTTAATTAATGTTTCAATTTTTATTCGATGTTTCCATTTTTCTATATAGAAATTTCTAGCCATGGTAGGTTTTCATTATTACAATTAGTAGGCACGTGGTTTTCGACTATCGATAAGGTAATGGTCTCAGCTCTTGTTGCGTTGCTTGTCTTGTTGCGCGTCAAACTATTTTACGCCTAATACACAGAATTGTAAGGAAGACTGAGTTTCAGCGTCATCTAACGTGTAATAGCAAACACAAGCAGTATTTTTACTAACGCCACCTGACGGTGAATGGCTAAACCAGAATGAAAATGGTATACGGCCTCCGTGGTCGAGTGGCTTGCGCACCGGTTTCGGTTTTCATGGTGTCGCCATCTCAGAGGTCCCGGATTCGATCCAAAAACTGACTTTCTATATTGTCTCAGGTCTGGGTGTTTGTGGTACCATCGTTGTTTCCGATTTCCATAACACAAGTGCTATAGCTACTTACTTTGGGATCAGAGCAACGTATGTGATTGTTGTTTAATATTTACTTATTATATTAATTTTATGCTGAAATTTTGCAACATAAATCTTACGTGACTGAAAGTTTAATTTTGTTAAAATCATAATTATGTTACGTCGTTTTCACGTTTTAAGCCCTAACCAATCAAGATCATCAATTTATGGTAGTAAATCATCCGTAGAACAAAGGCGTATATGAGTAAGACTGTTTATTCTCAGAACATTGTATATTTCGTTCGTTGTACTTCCCTGTGGGTATCAGATTGACTGTTGTTCGATTTTATATTTCCGAAACGAAATAAGATATAAAAATTCTGGAAACACCTATCGATTGACCTTATGTTGAATAACGAGATTATGTATTTATTATATTTTCGCTGTACATCAGACTCTGTTCTTCGGGTGAGTCGAAATAATAGAGCGTAAAGGTTGAATTTCACACAAGCTAAAAAGTGGCGACATCGATACGCCACCTGACGCTGCGTCATAGCATGTCTCCCTCTTCTCCTTTATTTCTATATCTACGTTCCAACAGTGCCACTGATCGAGTTAGCAGACCTTAGGAATTCCTCTATGTATTTGCTACAGATCTTTGTTTTTGGTTTGTAACCATTTTTTTCTCCTAATCCTGTCAGATCAAAGGAATTTTTCTTTGTGTTCGATCTTTGTGTTAATAATTACATCATGTGTTGTTACTTTCTTAGACTTGGCGTGACTTGCGGCGCAAAGCCAGAAACCAGAGCGCGAAAGCAAATGAGGCATTAGGGGTCACCAGCAACAATTTACCGATGCCTTCAATACCTGTTAATTCCCTAAATATTATGATTGAGACTATTAAATCGGAAAGTGCCTTTGACGGTGATGGTGCCGAGGAAAGTGGGGTAAGTTTTTGTATTAAAAATGTCAATTCGTTTTTCCATTATTAATGCATTTCTATTTACACCCAAAAAGTAAATTGAATCTGTTAATAATGATCACGCCCCATCAGAATGTTGGGCGATGAAAAGGGAGGATGAACGAACTGCGCAAGCAGCGAAAATGCGCATGTTGAGATGGATGTGTGGAATGACGAGAAAGAATAAAATAGGGAATGAGTACATCAGTAGAAGTTTGAAAGTGGCGCCAGTGACGGAAAAGATGAGGAGTAATAGGTTAGCGTGGTATGGACATGTCATGAGGAGGGAAGAATATCATGTGATGAGAAGAGTGTTAGGTATGATTGTGGAAGGATATAAGGGGATAGGAAGGCCAAAGAAGAGATGGATGGATTGTGTGAAAGTTGACATGAGTAAGAAAGATGTGAGTATGGAAATGACGGCTGAAAGGGAGAGAGGAACAAAAATAAATATTGCGCCGACCCCACCTAACGTAGGATAAGGACAGGAAGAAGAAGAATAATGATCACGCTTTAAGTAAGTAGCCAAAAATACTAACATCCTTGGACTATACAATGTGTTGATTTGCATTCGCGACGCCATATTTACAGAGGTCATTTCTATATCCGATACTGAACCCAAATCACTAAAAAAATAAATCCTAAATCCTTATTTTGTACTTAATTGCGGTAAACATGCTTGATCCAAACGTCATTGACTTGCACGGCACTTGCTAATAATAATAATAATAAACCATTAAATCCAGAGATTTAAATCCAGAAAAATAGTTCATTTCCTATAATAATAAACCATTTATTTCAGGCCATAGCCCATAAGATAATGGTGTTAGTTACAAAAGAAAATCTTAGAACTATGTTAGTATGATTGCATTGAATTTTGAGGTATTGATAGAAAATTAAAATACTAAAATTTGGAAAATGTACAGGTACCCGCAAAAATCTTGGAACAATGAACTTAAATGCGCAGAAATGCATTTTAGGTGTATTTGGTGGTAAGGCGCGGGTAGCAACGGCGGGGGAATATCGTATCGAACGCACGATTGGTAGATCAATCGACTTTGCCTCCCTTTGCGTCTAGGTCCCGCTGACATCCCGGATACATTCTAGTCTCTCACGGAATGCCACGTGGTTTGGTATGTAAACAAGAGTTAGTGCAAAAAAGAACGGCTACCAGGTTCACCAGAAACTGCATTACCATCAAGTGCAAGTGCGTGAGTAATCTTATGACATGATGTGAAATGTTTAGTTTACGCGGAGGAGATTACGAGTGTCGAAGAATTGCGCGCAAAATTCGTTTCTGCTTTCAAAGTTGTGAAGTCAAATGTACTAAGTTGAAATGAAACTCACGTGCTAGTAACTGTGGAGCTAGGTATTTCTAGCAATACTTTCCTGCAATACGTCACCTGAAGTTGGTAATGCGGGGTTCATTAGTCTCTCACTTGCGTTTTTCGCTTGCTTGCGTTGGCTGGATACACGCCGTAGATCTTCCATCCGCTTAAAGGCGTTCACGAGTCTTCCGCTTTGCGCTACGTAGAGACTTATGCGCGGCGCCTTGCCTTTGATTTGGTTGTATTGGACGCGTGGACGCTGTTGCTCTGTGATTGGCCAGTGGTGCTGTCCTCCGCAAACGTTCCCTGTTGCTTGCGTGGAAATATCAAGCTTGCTAGATATCAAAGTCACGGAACGCAAACAAATCCAACGACTCGTGAACAGTCCTGGCTGCGCGTATGCGACAGATCTTTGGGTATGCGCGAAGCGAGTCACGCAAGCAAGCGGAAAACGCAAGTGAAAGACTCGTGAAAAAGATAAGTACCACTCGGTGAAGCGGGTGGCGAGGTCACTGTCCTCGCGCGGTGGTATGCACCGCTTAGGAACAATTTTGCAAAACTTTACTAGTTACAATTAACCAGTATATTAAACAGAATATCTTTTTCAATAGTTTTAGATGATTTAGCATTACTTCTATTATTAATTTCTTAAATATGGCGGGAATGCAAATCAATAAACTATATTACTAACATCTTATAACAACAATTTGTTCCATGACTTAATAATTCATTGTATTTTAATTTTTGTGATTTAAATATTCCAGAATATTATCATTATATTATGAGTGTGTTATCCTGAAATATTATTTAATATTAAAAAAACCGACCTGAAAAGTTTGCTTATCGGATTTTTTTATTGGAATTACATCTATTTGCCAATTTTCATTGATTCATCGAATATTTTCTTCTAATTTAATTCGGACCAATACTGAGGTACCCTCTTTCGAACGAAAAAAGAATCATTAAAATCGGTTCACAAATGAGTTATCATGTAACATACATACAAAAAGAAATGCAGACGAATTGAACAGACAATAAGCGTCTTTTGATTCTCGTAGAGTGCAAAATATGATTCTCCTCAAAGTGAAACTGTTCAAATTCAAGTTTTAAGCACCTTCTATGAATAGAAGGACAGCTGATATACATATTGATTTCAATCCTAACCTTTTATTATGATTTTAGGTTGGTGATCCGCTTTCGCTACACAATGTCAGTGATTCAGCAGATGTAGATGAAATGGTATGTCTGCAAGTTTTTTTTGTTTACATTTAGAATAGAATACGACACCACGACACAAAAATACACTGTAAGAAAGATAAAAAAAAAGATAAAGGTAAATTAAAACAAAAAATAAAATAAAATAACAAAAAAAAATAAAAATAAAATCATAATAATAGGTAATCATAACAGAGCAAACATTAAATAGTCAACACAATTACAGTAGATGTCATGTGTGCGGCAGTGGCGTATGCAAAAGATCGACTTAGCTAATGTCACCGCCGAAAAAACGCTTTGACGCTGATTGTCAGTGGATCTTAAATCCAAGTGAATACCGGACGTGTGTGTCGCATACATACACTAAAATAAAATTACGTACATTATTTATTTTGTGTTCTCTTATATGTATAGAATACCTACTTAAATAATTCATTTGATACATACGTACAGTTGAGTTGAGTATCAGTAGAGCTCCTAATGAAAGAAAGTTGGGATGTTATCTGGTTAGCGACGTATAGTGTAACAGGAACAGTCTTGGATAGTGTCCTTATTCGTTCATGGTACATATAGAAGTAAATTAATGATTGAATTACAATATTAAAAAAAAAATGCCTAATCAATATTTCCTCCAATACGCAATCCAGTGACCTACTAAAGGTGTCTCGTTGCATCAATACGTTACACCGAATTCACATAAAGAAGGATGGCGCCATCCCGTGTATTTTGTGACCCAGTGTTTTTGACGACGTGCATTAAGGAGACTTATCAATACTTGTGATTCATTATCAAAGCATCAAAAAAGCTAATTGAGTACAGCCTGTAGAAGCTGGGGTTATAATGTTGATATAGGCTATATTCATAACATTGTCCTGTATTTCGCTTCAGATGTATGTTCGTAGTGGCAGAAAACAATAAGTTTTCAGTTTCTTCCCAAAAATAATAAAGAACTTTCCGAATATTCCCAAATTTGTCAAACTCTGCCACATTTAATATAACTTATCATGTTCTGCAGCAATGAAAATTAAATCTGCCCAAATTGCAGCAGTCTGCTACAAATGTTCACACTATTCTCAATATCAATGTGACATTGACATTGGCAAGAGGTCTCTTGTCAAAACGTTCCTTTGCAACTTTCATTATCTCTCATTTAAATATTGGCTAAATATTTTTGACACATTGTGTTTAATTTTTTGCTTTATGTCATTACTGTTTAATTGATTATTTCATTAAGTATTTCATAACTTTAATGTTTTATTTGTGTACTATAAAATAACCAATACTTTTCAGGTAGGTAAACATTCAATCATGTTTAAAATGAAACGTACGCAGAAAACCGTTACCTAATCTATGGTCGAACTGAATCAATTGCGTTGTGTTCTTGCATCTATTCTAAAATACAATGTAATTTTTTTTTTATTCCCGACTTCTAAAAATATACAAAAATATATTGATAACTAGGCATAAACTAAAACGCAAAATTATACTAGCAAAGTCCATGAACGGCCCTTCGTCGTGGGGCAGCTTTCGCCATCCTTCTTTTCCACCCATAGAGGTGGACTAATTACTTCAAATTTGAATGGGACCACTAATGAGGTACCTTCTTTCCAACAAGAAATCAATGAAATCGGTTCACAATTGTCAAAATAATCTCGTAAGATACACACACAAAAAGCAGTCGAATTGAGAACCTGCTCCGTTTTTTTGAAGTGGGTTAAAAGCAATTTCTTTTTAATTATATATATGCCAAAAAAATAAGATACAGTATTCAGGTTATATAAAGTAGCAGTAGAGCTCCTTATGAAAGAGTTCGTCCAGAAACGAACTGCCACCTTGCTTATGTCTGCTGCCAAGCAGTAGTGTCAGCATTACTGTGTTCCGGTTTTGAAGGGTAAGGTTGCTGGTGAAATGGGACTTGTCAAGTTATCGTCGCCTTACTTTCACAAACTCGCATCTTATAAAGAGTGATTATTCAGTAGATGGCAAAACTTTCTATTTATTTTTAATTTCTTATCAAGGGTGTTTATTTGAATGCATTACTTTAAGAATAGGTAAAAGCCAGTGAGTGAATATGATGGACATGTGAAGTGAAATCAGCCTGCAAAATTTGTATATACAATCCATTTTTTTGCATTTCAGTAACTGTGCTTTAAGATACGTGTTTGTGAAATTAAGGCGAAATTATGTCTCGGCGTGACGGGCGCAATGGCGGTGCCCCTCAGATCTTTGCGATTTAAAGCTCTGAGTACATTGACCCTGTTATGGTCAGGTATGTAGTTTACCATCAGGCGCACCCGGCTTCCCGTCACTTGATATTATTTTAAAAAACCATGAAAACCTTGTTATTACTGCCAACCTGCAATGAGGACAACGATAAGATCTGAATCACTAGTATCTAGAGATCGATTTCTGAACAGTATATAATAAGATACATAGGACAGAGAAAGCAGCTTTTAAACCTTTTTAGTTGTAATAAATATTTTATTACCGCCGTTAATTTACTGCCCCCGTTAGGGCGTGTTTCCATTATGTCGTGACGACAGGTAGTCGTGTAGTCTGAATGCAGTTGTTCACACATAGTACGACAGGATTAACTGTCGCTCACGACGTTACGACGACAGAGTATCGTGACAATGACATGAGTTAGAACCACAGTCGTCTGACGATAAATAAAGCGTCACGATAAAATTGTGACGACAGATAATCACAACTTCAAACGATTCTGTCGTGCAAACGACAAAGCGGCTGCCGTGAACAGATAAATTGTCGTTACGGCCTAGTGTGAACAGCTAGACACGACAGTCGTTCAACGATAAAATAAACGTCTACGATACAGTCACGACAGATAGTCGTTATATGGAAACAGGTTAGACGCGATAGTCGTCCAACGATAAATAAAACGTTACGACATAATGGGAACGCGTAGTGGTCCCGGGTTCGACTCCCGGGCCGATAGAAATATTTGCATGGCCTACATTTATTTCTCTCGTGAGTTTGGGTGTAACTTATGGTTGTCTATTTATCAGTCCATGGCACCCGCGATAAGGGGTTTCCCTAGTGCGAGGCTTTGAGTGTGTGCGTCATAATAATAACTAACTAGATAATTTTCATTTTTAACGTATATTTTATAGGTTCGATGCCGGTCCAATCACTGCGAACCAAGCCCAAATCCACCCCCCAGACCAAGTGCTACAAGTTTCGAAGCAGACGCAGACGAATTACTTGAAGCTAAATTGGAGATTAATGACATCATGAAGGTAGCCTTCAATTTTTTTGCCCCGTTGGTCACTTAATACGAGTCGTGGAAAATAGATCTGTAGCATCTACTCGCTACGAACATTTTCAAGGCGAGACTGAATAGGCATTATTTAGGTGTGGACGCTCCAAGTAGCGATGGGCGAGTCGAGTTTTTTAACTCGATTAATATTTATATATAGTTATAGTTGCAGTAGTGAAGCTCCTTGTGAAACAGTTCGTCCAGGGTAGTACTGCCACCTTACCTACTTCTGCCGCCAAGCAGTAATGAAGGTTGTGAAGGGTTAGGCTGCTGGTGAAATAACAGGCACATGGAGCTTGTCAACTTATGTCTCAGGGTGACGGGCGCAGTGGCGGTCCCTCTAAGATCATTACAACTGTCATGGATAGGCGTGTCGCTTACCAACAGATGCACGTCTTGTTCGTTCCGCCAATTGGTATTTTGAAAAAAAAAAAAAAATTACTCCCACAACAAGTCAACTCGAGCTACTTTTTAATGAACTCGAGCTAGCTCGGTTCTGTACCTGCCCCGTGCTGAGGTACGGCGACCTTCGGAGCACACTCGGTCGGTTCGGCGACCTTCGGAGCACGCTCTAGTCGCGGCCGGCCGATCGTGACCAACTCGGTTAATCGTCGGTTCGAGTTCTACTCGCAATTCACGGACTGGCGGCGAGAGCTACTCGCGACACACGATCGCTCCGTCAGTCACAGAATCGAGACTACTCGAGTTGCAACTCGAGTCAGCAATCACGACAACTTGAATAATTTGAGTTATGATACCGAAGTACACAATTATTTTACATTTGGAAGCTATTTTTTAGAATTTGGAAATAATTTATTTTACGTCTAATACATCGCGGCTGCATGTGTTTGTGCCAAGAGCATTGTATGTAGCACGGGCGGCAAAAATTACTCGAAATTAAAGCCCTCAGTGTTCGGCTTCGGGTTGACCTGATTGGTACCTCGAGTTGCAACTCAGAGTCAGCAATCACGTCAACTCGAGTAGTTTGAGTTATGATACTGAAGTACACAATTATTTTACATTTGGAAAAAACAATTATAAATTATTAATACTCGATCCGGGTGGATTCGATCCAGCGCCATCCAACAATCCGTGCTAAACGCTCTACCAGCTAAGCCACGGAACGAACCAGCCGACCTTACGAATTTTTCTATTTAGTAGACCCAGTGCGAAGCTTTGGTTGTGTGAGTTATTATTATTATTAACTAGATATTTTCATTTTTAACATTGCAGGTTCGTTGCGGATCCAATCATCGCGAACTAAGTCCAAACCCACCCCCCAGACCAAGTGCTGCAAGTTTCAGAGCAGGCGCAGACGAATTTCTTGAAGCTAAATTGGAGATGAATGAGACCATGAAGGTTAACTTTAATAATTTTTTGCCATCGTTGACGGCTTAATAGGTTCACAAAATAGTTCTGTAGCGTCTACTCGCTAAGAAATTTTTCTAAGCGAGAATGAATAGGCATTATTTAGGTGTGCACGCTCCATTGTCGACCTCATCGTCCGTCAGGGCCCCAAGTCTTCAACTCTCGAGTAGGCAAATAATTCGCCCATCACTCGACTATACTCCGAATGCCCCTACTGACATTCGATTCGTGATCGAATGATTATTGTACCGGAACTGCTCGGTATCCTTCTCCAGGTCCATATAAGAATATCCCTATCCCTGTCACATTTACGGTATTTACCATAATTATGTTAGAGAGAGCTAGGCAGAAATGCTTTATGGAATCTATGGATTCATAATAAATGATCATTCAGATCATTCGAATACGAAAATTAGTAGATTAGTAATTTGTCATTCGAATGACGTGATTAGTAATTACTAACGAATCGACTATCGAAATCACATACTAAATTAAATTAATTGATACTGATGTTATCTGCGGTATGCTGCCGTCCTTTAACTAAAACGCGGCAAAGTGACAAAATATTTCTTTGAGATCATTGACTCACCAATAAATGGACATCGGGTCTAATACAAAAACCACGAAAAAAATGTCCGAAGTTAACCTATACAATGCAACGAAATATAAAGAACTAAAACATTTAATTTAAATTGTAACGTCATTGCAGTACTGCCTAATTTTGCTTGCAACAATTTAAGGGCCCCAAAAACACCATATTCAGCTTCTATTAGAAATTTAACAAAATGCACCATATTTAGCTTCGACTGAAAATTACTTGAACACAAGAGTAATGGAGTAGCCTTTATCGTAAATATTAATTAATTTTTATATATATTATTATGTCGAATTTTGTACAAATTTACTTAAGGATTACAATAAAGAGTTGGGCTATATTATGTATATTGGGATATACATAGATACAAATATTACTACAAATGTAAAAATAAGCGTGTACTCTAAGAAATGTACCGATATTCCAACTAAACGTAAACTCAAATATCCGTAATTCTGAAAACTAATTTATAATAATACCGATACGCTTTCGAGCAATTTTGTTGCTTTTCACAAAGACAAAATTAGCTTTTGTTTTGTAATCTTCCTAAAAAATTATATTAGACATTATGAATTAAATTCGAGCTAATGTAATCCCAAGCCGTAAAACGAGTACAACAATATTTTGTTACTTATTGCTAACGTTTAATAAAAAAATCATTTAAAAAATAAGATTAAAACAAAGCGACTGTATAGTTTCTTTGTTTTAAATATTTCAATCGCTTGTGGTTCGAACAATTGAAAATGACCAAGAAGTTTATTTATGCTTCTTGAAACTGACGTAATGTTAGAAAAAAGACAGTTAGCTATTTGATTATTTTGTGTGCTTTTGTCATTTATATTTACGATTCATTTATACATAAATTAAATACTATAAATAACAAAACAACACTTTTCAATGAGAACTATGATAACACGATATAATTGTTTAGTGAAAATATGATACAATTTCCTGTTTTTACACTTTACTGCAGTAATTTTTTTAAAGTTATTATTATTGGTACTGCATGATTGACAACAGCGCTGTCAGTCGAACTCTGTATGCGATTTTAACGCCCTACAGGTGCGGACACTTTATAGCGCGAACCGGCGTCCATTTATTGGTAGATCAATGTTTGAGATATATAAAACCGTAACCCAGTTTTAGAAAATTTAAATTGTTTAATGATATTTCAGCTATGTATCGTTAGAGTAAGTTCCGTTAAGTCGAACACGTTGACTAATTTTAATTATTTTTAAAAGAGAATTTTGTGCTCTATCTTTTGCTATTTGAAACGGATATTTGACTATTTGTCACTTAGCCGCGTTTACTGGACGGCAGAATAGTGATGCAACTCACGTTCCTTTTGTTTTTCTACAATATTAACTTAAATGATACTAAAATACATAATTATTTTACATTTGGAAGCTATTTTCATGTATAAAAAATAATTATAAATCATTAATACAAAGATCGAACACTAAGAGAAATTCCTTCGATTCGAACCAGCGCCTTCCAGCAATCCGTACTAGACGCGCTGTCAACTAAGCCACGGAAGGAACTAGCAGACTTGACGAATTTTTGTATGTGTTTTGGTTTGTTTTTGGTTTTTAACGAATTTTTTGCCATTGCGTCATCTGTGACAAATCTATTTCTTCTCTCAGCCACGTATCTTTACAGCTACCAGCTGCTGACTAGAGATGTGAGATGTGTAATAACTTGTAATATTGCGTATTTTATTGAATGTCACGATTTTTAACGACCACGTTATTCAATTTTTTTTGTGAAATATTTTATTATTATCTAAAATCAAATATTATCTGAGATATTATGTAACCGATGGCGCTACGGCAAAAAAGACGTTAAAAACCAAAAAGAAAGCTCTGCAACAAGCACGTAGAAAAATTCGTAAGATCTGCTGGTTCGTTCCGTGGCTTAGTTGACATTGCGTCAGTCATGGTTTGCTGGAAGACCTTGGTTCGAATCCAGCCGGATCGAAGGTATTTTTCGTAGTGTTTGAGCTTTGTATTAATAATTATAACAAACTAGTGGAGAAATTTCACATAAACATAAATTCAAATACAATGAATAGCGACATCTCTAGCCGGGGCTGGTAGCTGTAAAGGTTTCTAATTGGGCGACAAAATATAATAGATTTGTCATAGATATTACGGCTGAAAAGTCGTCGAATAACCAAATAAAAAGATACGACGCAAGTACATAAATTTGTGAGGTTCGTTCCGTGGCTTAGTTGGTATAGCGTCTGGCACGATATGCTAGAAGACGTCAGGTCGAATCCGGCCGGATCGAAGTAATTGTCGATCTTCGTATTAATAATTATAACAAACTAGTGGAGTAATTTCACATAAAAATAATTTAATATCAATTCAGTAAAAATTTAAACTAAATTATTCTACAATTTCACAAAAAGATATTATTAGTATCATGGTCGTCAAACAACGTGACATTGAATAAACAATTACAATATTTACAAATATTTTCGAATGCCAAGGTAACCTAATGGTTTGGCCTACCGCCTCAAGCAGAGGCCGTGGGTTCGAATCCGGGTTCGCATACTCTTGAGTTTATGTATGAAATATAATTTGAAATTCACCATCATCTTTTCGGTAAAGGAAAACGTCGTGATAAAACCTGCACACATCGAATAAGGTGCTAAACTAAAACTCTCACCCGAGAGGAGATCCGTGCTCAGTAGTGGGTCGTTTAAATGTGTTGATAAAAATGATAATTTGTGAAGGTTTATTATACTGATTTGATTTTAAAATTGTTACAGGGTATATTAAATCAACTTACAATAGCAAATAGGCACAACGCCATCCGCACGAGGATCGCATTTAGGGAGAGGTAAGTAACTACTGTAGATTTTTTCAATTGTTGTTTATCAAATAATAGTACATTGTGTATTATCGAGAGTTTGTTAGAAGCCCGAAGCCGAACGCTGAGGGCTTTAATATATCGAGTTTGTAATTTTTAAATAAATATTAGTATAATATATTAGTATATATAATAATTAGTATAAATTACAACACAACGTTTATTGATGGGTTGTTTTTTAAACAGATTGCCAACTAAAAATGTTCTAAAAGGCACAAATGCATGCAGGCGCAATGTATTAGATATAAAATAAATCATTTCCAAATTCTAAAAATAATGCGATTTGTTCGTCCAGTCAATTGCTATCATAAAAAGAAAACCACGCCACATATAATGTATAGTGCTACATTTGAATGCGATATTTTAATTATAATGTACACTGGGTGTTTAAATGATTAGGTAGCTATGATGAGATAACATTGTCTGGAGCTGTATCACTCCACATATTATTATTGTACATTTTGGTGTACACAGGGCCTTAGAAGGATCACATCAAGTTATACACTTTTGTTCAAATGTCGTCTTCAGTTCAACGGGACAAGGTCCGTCAATGTGTAGCATGATTAATGTGACCATAATTTTTTCCCTCATAGTGGGACGCCTGTAAATTTATTATTGTTTTAAAAATAAAACGCATGTTACGAAACGTTTCATAAATAAAAAAAATACTAAAAATAATGATCAAAAATTTAAAAAAAATTAATCTTGCAAAGTCTGGGTGAGTTGGCTTTGTATATTTTTCGCTTTCGCTCCATTTTTTTAGTATTTATTGTCACGTGTATCGTATTTTGTCAAAGTGGGATATTTTTAAGTGTTCTGGGGACAGCGGAAAACGAAACTTAAAAGCGGGACTGTCCAGCCCAAGCGGGACTTATGGTCACGTGAAGCATTATGTGCTGCCGTCAGTACAATAGGCGTAATTAACCACTCCGATGAAGACCTAGACATCGGAAGTTGCTCTTTAGGCAGTAACTTGACGATTGACGTCATTTAGGTATTTCTAGGTGTCCATTTCTAACTGGAACAATGTCAACACACAGCTAGAGTTCCCTGCAAATAAAATAAATAATAATAAATAAAAATCATTTATTTCGGGCAACGACTGGCGACAACCCATATCAAAATAAATTACACACGAATTTAAACAAACAGGGCGTGACACGGCTATGCCTCCGAGGGAAAGTACCTTAAATATTTTAGTTAGAAAGTTTTACTGAAAGAAGACTTAATTTTGATTTTGAAAAGTACTGGAATTGAATTCAAAGATTTTTAAATAATCGTCAAAAAAAAATACAACTGTAATTTTACTATACTGATCGAAAGCCTCGATTGTTTTCTTCTAAATAACATAGGATCTTACATAAAAGGAAGACCATGAAATTACATATTTAATTTGAAATTTTGTTCAGAAAAATGAACCTCTAAAAGATTTAGTTCACAGGAACCGGTATGAGAATGTGCATTCACCATGAAAAGATAAATGAATCAACAGGAAGCGAAATTATGAAAAGAGTGAGAATTTGTATACTAGAGGATGGGACACATTTTGAGAATTTGATAACTTAAATTGATTGTAAGTTGCAGTTAAATGGAATTATTTGAATTAAATAGTATAACACGTTACAACGATTAGTTCGACGCGCCACCGCTGGATGGCATTAGGATCGAAATAGAACACGCTATCAGAGTGTTCACTAAAATTAGTATGGATGAAATTTGTTTAGTTCGACGCGCCACCGCTGGATGGCATTAGGATCGAAATAGAATAGAACGCGCTATCAAAGTGTTTACTAAATTAATATATAAGCGTTGAAAGAGAAGTGTTCAGTATCGACTCATTCGTAGAGTCCCTGAGCAAATTTTCCGCCTCTGCCTTCTCTTCCTCCTCTTTCTAATATGGAATTATTGACCAGTAGGAGTAGAGTCAAGCCCCGATCATTAATGCTTGGCATTTTCAACACGGATGTTCGAACCTTCCTCACAGACCACCGACTCGATGTCCTGTTAATTCAAGAAACCTTCCGCTCGAACCCCCCATGTTCTCTCTTCTCTTTTTCTCTGTTCTCTCTGCTCTTTTCGCAACTTCCACCACCATGTCACTCGGAGACTCAGCAGTTGGACATAACATACGGCTTGCTCCGACTAGAAATCCGCGACAAAGTTCCTCGCGCTAGCATCCAGGATTTCCATCATTTGTTAAAGGCAGCTCGTGCCGTCGAACAACTGCTACAGGAGAAAGGCAAGTACATAAAAACACTCGAGGACTCAATTCCAGTTTTTTAAAATCAAAATTAAGTCTTTCAGTAAAATTTTCTAACTACGATATTCAAGGTACTTTCCCTCCGTGTGGCATAGCCGTGAGACGCCCTGTTTATTTAAATTTGTGTGTAATTTATTTTGATATGGGTTGTCGCCGCCCTAAATAAATAATTTTTATTTATTATTATTTATTTTATTTGCAGGGGACTCTAGCTGTGTGTTGACATTGTTCCTATTGGAAATGCAGACCTAGAAATACCTGAATGACGTGAATCGACAAGGCATTAGTTCGCTAGTGTCATTGAGCGTACAAATGGGTACCTAAAGAGCACCTTCCGGTGTCTACATCTTGATTGGAGGGGTAATTACGCCTGTGGTGGTACGCGATTAATCTTCGGTATTTAAGCTACTTTCCCTCCGTGTGTTATAAATGTGAGACACCCTGTATGTGTATATGTACAGTTAAGGTCAAAATAATAAATAATCCAAAATAATAAAGAATAAGTTAAAAAGTTAATGAAAAGTTATAGAAATAAAATAAAATTGAAATGAAATTAAGTAAAAGGCAAAATTCAAATTAATATTACAAGTATAAACAATAAAATAACTGTAGTGTATTGATGTCTAAATCGATTGCCTCCATAACGTACAGTGAGTGATACCTCCAATGAAGCCTACGTCAACTTAATTTTTGGACCTGCTCTGTTTTTACTTTGTTTTTTGTTTCTTTATTTTTTTTCCTAAATTCGGTTTTTTGTTTCTTTATTTTTTTACTAAATTCGTCTTTTGACGTTTTCCGAATTTTGTTTTTTGTTTCTTTATTTTTTTTACTGAATTCCTTATTCTTTTTCGAATTTTGTTTTTTGTTTCTTTATTTTTTTTACAAAATTCAGGGAGTATAATATTAGTAAATAAATACTTAGGGCTGTTTACGAAAATAACAGAAACTAACCAAGAAATAAAATTAACGTGGTTTACCGGGATAGAAAACCATGTGTAATTTACACACCTGTATCATCATTAAAAGGCGTCGTTTTTTGTTGCAGATTATGGCGACTTCGAAGGCAAAATAACTTATAGTTTTAGTTTTTTTTAGTATATTTGATTGTTGTAATAATTGTATTTCGTTTTTCGATTGCATATTTCATGATTGTTGTAATTATATTGTGTATAAGATTGTAGATTTTAAATCGTGCCGCCGTCATAAACAAATTTCTTACATACCTAAGTATATTGACTTTCTTTTAAAAAAAACACAGACCTCAAAATTAGTTTACCATTCGTCCACATTCAAGAATGTTATATTATTCTCAATATTATAATCAATGGGCTGATCGGTAATGGTACATATACGTAGATACAATAGCCGTAGAGCTCCTTATGAAAGAGTTCATCCAGGGTAGTACCTTACCTATTTCTGCCGTCAAGCAGTAATGTGAGCATTACTGTGTTCCGGTTTAAAGGGTAAGGGTGCTGATGAAATTACAGGCACATGAGACTTGTGAATTTATGTCTCAGGGTGACGGGCGCAGCGGCAGGGCCCCTCAGATCTTTGCAACTTAAAACTCTGAGCGCCACTGCAACTGTTATGAACAGGCGTGTCGCTTACCACCAGAAAGGCAACTTGTTCGTCCCGTCACTTCGTATCTTTTTTTTATTTATTTTTTTTATTTTTTCAGAAAAACACAAACAGATACATACTAAACAAATAACAAACACTGAACAAGCAAGATTAAATAAATATGAACCAACACCGTGTTCCACAAATGTGTGACAATTAAGATACTGTGACGCGCGTGACACATGCGCGTAGTCTTATGGAATTGTATTTGAAAATTTTGTTTATACATATAGCGAAAAATTAAATAAAATAAATAATAAATAAAAAAAAATTATATGTTATATAGCCACATACATTATATTCACATATACACAGACAACCATATACATATCAAATCAGTTACGATAATAATCATAGGTACCATAGAAATCAGAAGGAGTCACTATTCACTCTGACAGAAACTTCACGTTTATGCCTGTACAAAGAGGTACTAAATATATCCACGTCCTGGAAACAATAATTATAATTGCAACACATCCTATAAATTGGAGAGCGTTTACCGACTTTGGTACGACAAAATGGGCGTAAGAAAAGGACTTTTTATCTAGGTTTACGAACGGGTACTTTATATATAATTTGGGATGCCAGCTCAGAACAATCAATATGATTATTTATGATTTTACAGAGAAATATGGTTTCAAGAAGTGCCCTTCGCTGTTCAAGACTTAACATACCAAACTCAGACAACAAGCTTTCGTAATCAGTACGTTTGCCTGAAACATCTGTAGCTAAGCATCTTCAGAAGTTTCTTCTGTATGTTTTCAAGGAAGTTAATATACAACTTATAAAACGGATTCCATATTAAGATTGCGTATTCCAATATAGGTCGCAACAAGGTGCGATATAGATAAGTGTCATGTTTTTTTAAAACTTTCGTAGTAAATAATTGAAAAGCTTTAGTAGTGATGTAGTCAATGTGTAAACTAAGTGTGAGTTTGGAATCTAAAAGAACACCAAGGTCTCTGATACTGTCTACTTTCTCTAAATTCACATTATTAATTGAATAGACACACTTAATTGGATTAAGTTTTTTGGTAAATGTAATAGTTTTACTTTTCGAGAAACTAAGCTGTAGTTTATTACGAAGACAATAGCTATGTAAAGATTTCAAATGCTTTTGAAGCAACTTGCAATCATCTTCACAACCGATTTCTTTAAATATTTTTAGATCATCTGTGTAAATAATGAAGTTTGGGTTACAGATACACTGGATCACATCATTTTTATATAAAACAAATTAAAATGGTCCCAATATTGAGCCTTGCGGCACGCCAGAAGATACAGCGAAGAGATTCGACTCATAACCATTTACCACGATTTTTTGTTGCCTATTACTTACGTATGATTCGAACCATCTAAGTAAACATCCCTTGATGCCATTGTATTGTAATTTTTCCAGAAGTATTAAGTGGTCAAGTTTGTCAAACGCTTTTTTAAAATCAGTATAAACTGTGTCTACTTGTGAACCACTATCTAAGGTTTCAAATAAAAATGTACTGTATAAAGCAAGGTTACTAATTGTTGAACGATTCTTTACAAATCCATGCTGGTTCGGTATTATGTGCCTGCCGATAAGTGGCTACAAGGATTTATGCACTAAACTTTCAAAGACTTTAGACAAAACTGACAAAATGGAAATCGGACGATAATTGCTTATATCAGACCTTTTAACTCTCTTTAAGTACTGGAGTGATATTCGCAACTTTCCAGACAGTAGGAAATACACCTAGGTCAAGACTCTTATTCATTACAATGTACAAGGGGAGCGCAATCGATTTAGCAGTGTGTTTTAGAAAATGTGGGTGAATACGATCAGGGCCGGCTCCCTTTTCACAATCTAAATTTAGAAGTTCCTTCTCAATATCTTTAAGGAGTAAAAACAAATTGCCTATGCATAGTCAGCAATAGGTACGTTTGCAAACTGTGAAAGTGCTGAAATCCAAAGTACCAGGTACATACACAGATTGGAAAAAAGATGCAAATAAGGAACATATTTCAATAGGTTCATTAACGGTAGCGTTCGCATCGTAAAAATAAATACAAGGAATGAATGAATGAAGGAGTGGTTAAAACCACCAAATATTAATTCATCCCTGTTTTCAAATAACTTGTTTTATTAAATTCAGATATTGTAGACACTTATTTATTATTATTCTTTTTTTTTTTAATTTTTAGGAAATAGTTACATTTGACAGAAAGTTATCAAATGAACTGTAACCCTTGAGCGGACCTATCCTGCGTTAATAAATTGCGACCGAACTTTATGATCTTGGGGTCTATTGCATACTAAATAAAGTCATGTTTGGACTTGAAATAGCCTGAGGTTTCTCTTTCACATTTCACACGCAAAATCTACTTACAAAATCTACTCGTATTAATTTAAAACACATGATATAAAAAAAATATGTTTACAATTCTCCATAGAAACATTTAGCCACGTTTTTGGATAAATATCGAGTAAAATGGAAAAAAAATTATGTATTGTGGGTATATTATATGGAACTTGAATAAAATAAAAATAAAAAAGTGTTGCCAAATTTCAGGTTTTAATGCATTAATGAAAAATAAATGTAATGATTTTAGTTTTCGTTGAATGTCTATTTGCTTTTCTATGTCATATATAACAATTAAATCTGTATTGTTTTTGCGTCTGACCAGAGCACATCAATGTTGACACAATGGAACACGTTTGCAATGTTTTGATTTTATTGACAGACAGAATCCTCAGCCAGTTTTTCTCCAGCTTACATCAGTAATCTTATTATGTAGGTACTGTGTTTGTTTTTCAATAAGTTTTTTGTTTAATGTTCTATGTTTTCTCTCCAGTATGAATCATTAAGTGTTTGTCATGATTTGCTTTATCACTAAAATATTTGTTACAAATGTCACACTTGTATGGTTTCTCTCCAGTATGGATCCTTTTATGACGCTTAACTTCATATTTCCTTGTAAAACTTTTGTTGCAAATATCACATTTGTATGGTTTTTCACCAGTATGAGTCATTATGTGATATTTTAATAGAACTCTTCTTGCAACACATTTCTGGCAAATATCACATTTGTATGGTTTCTCTCCAGTATGAATTCTTTTATGTTGTTCACAATTTTCTTTAGTGGTAAAAGATTTGTTACAGTGTTCACATTTGTATGGTTTCTCTCCAGTATGAACCATTAAATGTTTATTAAAATTTCCTTTATTGGTAAAAAATTTGTGACAGTGATCACATTTATGTGGTTTCGTGCTAGTATGAGTTATTAAATGTTTATTACGATTGGTTATAGAGGTAAAAGATTTGTTACAAAAATCACATGTGAACAGTTTCTCTCCAGTATGAATTAGTTTATGATTATTAAGTACATCTTTTTTCTTAAAATGTTTATGGCAAATATTACACTTGTGTGGTTTTTCGCCAGTATGAGTCATAATGTGATACTTAAGCAGTATTTTTCTCCCAAAACCTTTATGGCAAATATCACACTTGTATGGTTTCTCTCCAGTATGCGTCATTAAATGTATTTTACTTTCTGCTTTTGTGGTGTAAGATTTGTGACAATGTGCACATTTGTATGGCTTCTCTCCAGTATGACTTATTTCATGACGCTTAAGATGGTGTTTCTGTACAAAACATTTTGTGCAAATATCACATTTGTATGGTCGAGAATCAATATTCAACTCGTCATATGTGTTCTGCACACATTTGACTTGAGCTATGCTAGCTGGCTGCAGCGTCACAGGTCCTATAACCAACTCTTCCTTGATTTCATGATCTGCATATAGATCTAGCTCGTCTTTATTGTGAAATTCTTCTGCAACGTCAACTGTCTCTTGTTTGATGTGAACATTCCTGTGTAAACCTGTAGACCTGTTTTCTAATTCAATTACCACCTCCTTAACGTTCATAATACCTTGTAGCTCCATCTGTCCATGACATTGTTAGCTGTTGCAGTCAATACAATTGTATATAGTGAAATATACAAGGGCACTCTCACAGTGAGTTCAAATTGTTACTTTTTTTGCTCAGTTTTAATCTGAAACAAAAAGAAAGACTTTTCCATATTAAATTTGCCAAATTAATACCACAACAAAATAGTGCCCGCGCGGTGTCAGTCACAGACTACTTAGTGAACTACGTTGTGTCAGTAGAATGATCAGTGTTGCCAGATTTTGGCGAAGTTAATTCGCCAATTTATGTGTGTTAAGCCTAGAGGATGGAAAAAAAAAGAAAAGAAGTTAAGCTTAGAGGATGGAAAATTTCCATAGTCTAAGGTGTCAAGTAGCCGATATTCACTCAAGGCATAAAATCCCTAAAAATCAAGGAAAACAATGTTACAATTCTGCTTGCTGCCTGAACATTGAGGAATATGAACTCTCTTATTTCCCCGATTGCCTACACGTAGAAATACTCAAACCTTAAAGTTATTTTACAACTCCATTCTCCGCAAAATTCCCAATCAAATTTATAATTCCCCAGACATTTTATTAAGTAGATTAAAATCGCTTTTTCCTATTTCAAACAGTCTAAATATCGCCGAGTCGCCGATCACTTTTTTAGTCGCCGCGCGACCTCTCAAAACAGTCTTAAGGATCGTATTCCAGAACTCTACTCAATGCTCAAGTCAGGACTTGAGTATGATTTCAAGCACTGGAAATCATACTTAAGTCCTTGCCGTTAGGGTCGTATTTGCATTGAGTAGAGTTCTGGAATACGACCCTAAATGGCGAAAAATCTCCTAATCTGGCAACACTGAGAGTGACAGTCAAAGTGACAGTGAGTGACACGGACTGACAGTGCTAGCTGTCAAAACCAGTGTTGCTAGCATTAAAATTTTTCTTTCGATTAACATTAAAAAATATATAAACTTGAATAAATGAACGTAACTATGTTCAAGATCATTGAAAAGAGCATGATGATGTTTACAAATAATAAGAGATAATTGAATAACGCACAAAGACTCATTTATTTTTGAGTGGAAGTATTCTATTTCTATCAATTTACGAACAATTTTTTTCATGATGCCAAGAAACGAGACGAACAAGTCGTGCGTCTAATGGTAAGCACACCTGGCCATAGCAGTTGTATTTAGTGCCACTAAGAGCATTTGATTGCAAAGATTTGAGCGGCACTATCATTGCGCCCGTCACCCAGATACATAAGTTGACGAGTACAGTCAAGAGCACGTCATGCTTGACACTTAAGACTTAAATCCAACTCTATGCCGCTTATGATAAGAACAGTCCAAAGTACAAAGTGTCAAACTTGACGTGCTCTTGACCGTACCATGTGCCTATAATTTTATCAGCACCCGCATTTCCATTCCCATTACTGCCTGGCGGCAGATATTGATACGGTGGCAGTACTTCCTGGACGATGTCATTCACAGAGAGTCAACGGCACGTCAAGCTTTACACTTAAGACTTAAATCCTACTCTATGCCACTTACGATAAGAACGGTCCAAAGTACAAAGTGTCAAGCTTCATGTGCTCTTGACTGTACGCTACTCAATTTTATTATTTATTAGTGAATGAGGTAAGGTGAGATATTTAATGTTAGATCAAACGGCATTGGATCTCAAGTAGGAAACCAATGAATGGTGACTTGGAATAGGAGAGACAATGATAATATAAGATCGTTGTTTAGGGGAAACCAAAATTTGAAGTCAGTGGCGCCATCATTTATACATTGGTTTTACGGCAAGTAAGGTTGTATTGTATTTCATAAATTGTTGATTACGTATGATTTCCTTAATCATCATCACCGACCCATTATACATCCCGCTGCTGGCCATCGGTCTTCCCGAAGAAGGGACTTGCTTCAAATTCCGCTACACACTGATTCTATGCAGGTTGGAAACTTCACATGTTTCACAGGTTTCATCAGCATCAATGTTCTCCTTTTTCACTTTAGTACCTACTAAACAATAGCAATACCTACACTCTCACAAATTCCCAAATGTGTACCTAATTCATAAATTCTTAATAATAAATGAACTGAATTCTGCATTGTTTCCACCAATGAATGGAAACGACATTCCTTAGCGAGCTTGTTGGCCATGTTGGCCATTATGTAACTTGTGAAATAATCTTTGTCACCTTAATTAATGCATTTTGCGCTGAATAAATTATAAAGTAAAACATAATTTTATCTTGCTTTTTGTAATCCCAGTGTTGCCATTTTGATCAACTTCATTCACTCAAAATCAATTGTGTCGACATCGAACTTGATGTAGTAGGTTTTTATTGGTCCGTTGTCCGCATGAATGTGTGCACCAAAGACTCTCATCTGCGACGTTTGTAAACACCGCGTTTTTATTGTTATTTGTGATTTTCGCAAAATATTGTGAACTTAGTCAAGGTACACGTAAAACAAAAAACTTGTTTTATTTTTTAAATATTTTGTCGTGTGTCTTTGAAGTTCTTTTGTGACAATTATGTGATTTTGCTGCGAGGGTAAGTGCATTGCTGTTTTTATTAAATTTTTTTAAATGTTAAATCGTAATTTTTCAATTGTATTCGTATTTTTATTTCTTTTAACTTATACTCTTTTTTACTGTATGCGATTTCCTACGCTAGCTTGTGCAATAGTGGTCTAGTGATATAAATAAATAGTTATAACATGGTTTAATTGCATTTTAAGTATCCAATCTTTTTTTATTGAGAAACTAGTTTATGTAAGTTCAGCCAAATATTATGTAGTTCTTTTTTTAAATTTATTTTATAGTATAGGCGTTTTAATTTTTTTTCTTGGTATTAAAAAATATAAACTGTCTTCCCTTTTTAAATGGTAAATTTAATTCTTTGTGTTAAAAATGCAAAATATTTAAATCAAAAGCTATTCGGTTTAATGTTGAATCTTACCAAAAACGGAAACTTAACCTTCTGACTCATACTTTAGGCGAGTTTTCTTTAATAATGCGAACCGTTCATACATATTGGGATGTTTGATGTGAACAGGTTTTTCTTGTTTTCAAAATTTAGAATGCTTAAGCAGTGTTATTGTTTATTCCTAATAACAACATACTTAAAGTCAATAGTTATAGGTTTAATGGTCCATTTATTTGTATTTTCCTTGTCCCAATTTTTTCTTTATTTTTTTTATGAATTGTAACAAAGCAACTTCAAGCAACACTTCAAACAACACTTCAAGTTTGACACTTAATATTTAAATTCTACTCTATTTCACTTACTACTGTCTAGAATGTAAACCCATGATATGTACAGACGGCAGCACATCATGCCACACTTTGATGGATCTGGTTCCATTCAACTGGAGGCAATATTTGAACAAAAGTGTGTAACTTTTTAGTTGCTTGGTGTGCTGTTGTCTGTACATACAGCATGATTATAGATATACGTAATGTAAGTCTGTCATTAAATTTTGTAACTAATTTTGAGATACTGAAGAAAATACAAGTGGATGTATAAAATGATGACTACTTTCCTTTTCCTTACTTGTTTAAAAAAATCAGACTATGAGCAAGTCTGGGGAAAATGGTGGTATGTCTTAATTAAAATATATCCTAAGCACACTCAAGAGCACATCAAGCTTGACACTTTGTACTTTGGACTGTTCTTATCGTAAGCGGCATAGAGTTGGATTTAAGTCTTAAGTGTCAAGCTTAACATGCTCTTGACCCTGTACAAAACACTCTTATAATCCAAGTATTTAAAATATAAAATACTTTCATGAGGTGTATTGAAAATATAGAATACAAAATATTGTCTGCTTATAAGTAAAACCACATAAGTGACATTCCACAAATCCACAAAAAAAATCTCCAAATTATGTACCTGTTGTAAGAAAAATCACCATCTTTCTGCAGATAAAACCACTTATTGAGTTTATAGCTTTTTGTTATTGAGTTTCACCTGCAGAAAGATAGTGATTTTCTTACTGTAGCTATATGAAGACTTTTTGTACAAATGTCACTTACGTGGTTTTACCTTTAAACAGACAATATGGTATTTTGACTTCACATATTTAAAATACAAACGTTACCACTAACTGGTTACCAAAAAATAATACAAAATATCAATTACAAAATACATTACTGTCAGATATTTGAAATCCTTACCAATTACATAACATGTATATAGGTGATAATTGAAATATACAAATACAAAATATGTATTAGTTTTCTTTATTTGTATTTCAATTTTTACCTAATTTAAATACATATGCAAAGTATGTAGGTTTTCGTATTAAAAAAAAATAAGACATGCAGGGTTTAAAAATTACATTTATAGTAGCTATGTTTATTAGTGATGCAACGAAAGTGTCGTAACAGAAACGGTAACAGTGATGTCAAAAGTAAATTTTAGCGGAAACGGAAGCGCATGTGGAAGCAGAAGTATAAATAATAGTATTGATTAGAATTAAGTTTTTTTAGATCTCAACAAAATAGGTCCAGACAGGGCTTATTTTTGGTTTCAAATTGCATTTAACAGCTAAAATACACGCCCCACCGTCTAGTAATATGCGCGCGCGCCTGAAATCCGTCACGACCATTTTTTATGATACGAATTGACGGGACGAACAAGCCTACGCCTGTCCATAACAGTTGCAGTGCCACATATGTAACATTATTATACAATTTTGTTTTAAAATTCATGCTAAATAAAACATAAAAAGTTATATTTAAATATATAACATAATGTGAGTTTTCCAATTGTAATTTTTCAATTCTTCAGAATTTTTCCTGAAGCAGTTGAAGAAATATATAAAATTCCGGAAACCGACATCGAATCAGAAAGGGAAAGAAATGATACAGCTCGAGCTCTATGGACGAGAACACATCCTCACCCAGCAGGATCCACTAAAGCAACACGAAGCCTAATGTTGAAGCATGGTGTTGACCATCAACGCTCATTCCTAACAACACTACCTAACCACCTACTCAAATAACTAACTACCCCTACTACCTACTTTCTGTCACGCGCTGCATAGCAATCAAGAATCTGGCCACCGGTTGCGGGTGGCTGGTTTCCCCTACAGAATCCCGGGCGTGTCACTCCCTTAAACTGTACCTCCCCTGGTGTATCCGACTTGTCCGGATTAGATTTGTTCTAGCTGGGTGTGGTGCCAATGAGCAATGAGAATG